ATTAACTCCATCCAAATCGTCAGTCTTGAAAACATCATTCCATGGAAAAAAGCAGAAATTTGGTCACTTTAAAAATTGTGGAAAATTGATCTATTAAACATTTATAATTTTCATTTAAATTTCAAATATATTAAGAGCCTACAGAACTATACTTATATATAAGTACTTATAAAGTACTTATATATATAAGTTATTATATACTTATATGTATTATTATATACATATAAATGCAGTATACTTCAGACTCTATTTTCTTCTTTTTTTGCAACCGTTATCTGATTGCTTGAGAATATGTCTGTGTTCTTATTACACATCTGGTTACTAATGAAAATATTACAACTTAATACAATATAGTATATTGCATTTTTGACTTCCGCAGAATTCTTGTTATAAATAACAGCAGTATCTTCTGGTTTGCATTTAGTACGCATAATGTTTTGCATTTAGTACGTATAATTTTGCATTTCCTACAATATATCACTTAAGAATACACCTAACTTGATATTGATAATCTCGAAAAAAATACTTCTTCTTTTGGGTTATTCTTCTTCATTTGCCGAATTGATTAAGACTACAAGAGTTCATATAATATTTTATTAATAATTATTAATAATTACATTATTTAAAATAGTTTTTCTGTTTAAAAGCATATATATATTTATATATATATATATATTATTTATATTAATTTAAAAACAATTCTTTATTAAATGAATTCATAAAGTTTTTTATTCTCAGGTCTAAGTGTGATGTCATCTGCTTATATTGTGTTATTAATAAACATATCGCCAGTTTTAAACATCTTAATCAATTTTGGAAATTGATTAATGTAAGATCTGCTCGTAATACATGTTGACTAATAGGGGTGACAGCATACACCCTTGCCTGTTTCTTTAGTCATACAACAATAAAGTTTAGCATGTACATTGCTTAAATCCAAGCTAGAAGAAGGATTTTCCAAAAATGTTCATAGGTTAGGTTAGGGTAATTAATTAATTTTGATGAAACTGAACTGTTATTACATTAAGTATTTCTACTCGTATGCGGTTATCTTTAGTATCCCTTATGTAATGTATTGCATTACATAAGGGATCCATTAGGGTTGATAGAATTCAGGTTTATAGTCACACAGATTAGATTACAGTGAAATACATAGCACAAGAGTGAAATTTAGTTTTCGTTTAGTTAGTTTACACATCTTGAATATAGACCTTTTAGTTTTTGGAGTAAAGAGCATTAGTTCCGTTTCAAATGAGTATATTTACTGACCATTTTTGTTAGCCTACGAACTTAGTGACAAGTGAAGTAGACAAAGGTCCAAATTGTGTTGTCTCGAAAACTATGTCAAGATATGTCTAGATATCGCATAAGAAATACGATATGCATTCTATATAGGAAATTTATTATTTATTTATTTATAAGCATTTATAAATAAAGTTAAGTCATAGGGTTACATTATCATTTGTTATTATCTATATTCGTTACACATTAAAATAGCTTAAGGGTCTTGTCATCTATCTATCTATCCCCTAAAAAAATTAACAGCATATGAATAATAAAATTTTAAAGTGCAATAAAATTTTAAAAAATTGAAAAAAAGTCAAATGGTGTGATCATACCCCGAATACTGAAAAGTATTTCAATTATATTATGTATTATATAAATGAGATTAAAGAAATGCTCAAAATCCCTAATAAGTTTTGGAGAATTTTCAGGTTGAATTGTTTATATACATTTACGTCAAACTGGAAATATTATGGGTTTAGCCATGTTTCAGTTGAAATAGGAACCAATATTTTTTTTCTTACATCGTCAAAATTGCACTTAATTTGCTATAAATAATCGTAATACTTGATATATATATTCTTATATAAATGAGCAAAACAATATTTCATTAAACATATTGTATGATGAAATATATTTGAATCGCTTAAAATCTTTTCGAACTGCACCCACTGCCCTTGAAAGCCTTCTATTTCCAAGTCAGGGGTCCGAAACACTCTCACTTACAGTCATAGAACATGAATACTTTTCATTGAGAGCTTAAAGCTATAACTTTTTATAGTTTGCAATATTAAATAAAATATTTTGCGATCGGCACTAAGTTTCTTGTGATAATATCAACGCGAAAAATGAGTACAAACTTAATCTACACAGAAAATAACATATTTTTTTAAAATTATTTTCTTCTTACGTTAATCTGAATGGCGACTGACCTCTTGAGATGAGAGATTATCAAGATTTTTCTTACATACGTAGTTGTCAATATATATGTATGTATTTTAGCAATACATATGCATAAAATTTGTATATATATTTGAACCCCTACGTATATATAAAAAATGAATGTATTTATACTTGTACAGATGTGTATACATATATATATTTTTTTTATTATAAATACATATAATTTAATTAAATTACAAATGCACTTGAAACAAATAAAGTTATTAATTTTTAAATGATTATTTAAAACTATTTAATTAATTAGAAAAATATTTTAAAATTGTTTTTGTTTATTTGCATTTATGCATTTTATTAATTTTTAGTTTATTACTTTGTTTTGAAATTTGATTAATAATTTAATTTGATGTAAAACACTTATAAGCAAATCATTAACGCCATTTAACAAGGTACAATACTTAAGTCAGATATTAAAAATAAATTTAAATTAAAAAATATATGTCGATGTTTATAAGAGGGATACCCATTAATAAGAGACCCAATTGGTAGTAGATTTTGTCACTATAATGTGCACTTACTACTTATAGACTAACAAGTATATTTGATATACTTGTGAAATAAAAACTGATTTCATAAGAAATTAATAAGATTAATTTAATCTTAATTTAAGATTAAGATAAGAAATTAATTTATTTTAATTAATAAAAAATAAATTTACTTTTCATCTCATATTTAGTTACATGCATAGTTGCGAATATAAGCATATATACATTCTAGTAATAATAAGAAACAAAAACAATGGTTGCACCAATTTATTTTCAGGTTTTTCCTCAGCTTTGGTTTATTTTAAAAATCGTTTCACAAAAAAAAATTTGGATTTTATTCGATACTAGAGGTAGTTAGGATAGTTTAGGTTATACTGGCTATCCCAAGGAATCCATTTAGGCTTTTAGGCCCATTGTGTTACAGTATTATTCAAGTGGTTCTAACCGAACCACTTAGAACCGTGGGTAAAGTTTATAATGCTATTCAGAGGGAGGTCTTGCAGTTCGCCAAGATTCTCAGAAAAGAAAGCCCCTAAAGTGCTGGACAGAAACAAAGCAGATGGGAGACATTTTAATCGTTCTTACTACAACTGCGGTAGGTATTATTTAAATGGGATATTTAGTTTTCTGTCATGGTTACCTAAAATACAGTGATCTGTAAGCAAACCTACTACACCACTGATATCTCTACGGGACATCTCAATGACAGAGTTTGATTTTTTTTTATTGAAGTATGGTCAAATTGCTTACAGATGTCTGCATATCGTTGGTTACCTAAAATACAGTGATCTGTAAGCAAACCAACTACACTTCTGATATCTCTACGGGACATCTCAATGATAGAGTTTGATTTTCTTTTATTGAAGCATGGTCAAATTGCTTACAGATACCTGCATATCATTGTCTTCCCGTCTTTTATTAAAAAGTTCGGCACAGAAAGAACTGGCACTGAATGCCAGTTTGCATAATGTCAACGATATGTCCAGATTGTTTAGGTGTTCCGAGTGGTTTTCTGAAGCACTCGTCTGGTTTGCAATTGTCGAAAATATCCTTATGATCGGGAACCCAGATCAGAGAAATACTGAACTCCGTCGACATCTCATTTAGAATGTGTATAGTCAAAGATTGTCCTAGATGGTTAATTTTAAT